AACCTAGGTATTAATGCAGCTTTGAAAAAGAATCTAGACAAGTTCTAGAGGTTAACCAAAACTAGGTAAAAGTCACACAAGATGAGAAAATATATGGCTCAATAATCCTTCCATCAAGGCTTTCTCCAAGATGTTTCCTCCTTAAGGATCAAGCTATGAAACAAGGTTAATAACACTGCACCAAAAGTATTCTACTATGCTAATCAACTAAGAACAAAATCACTCAAATCAAATGCAATCAAACTCAGCCGTGCAATATTCACAAGCATTGTGCAAAAGAATTTTAAAAGAGATGCCCAAGGATTACAAAAGTCAAGTCAGCAACAGAGAGAACAGCAACTCGCCCATACAGCAGTGCAAAACACTGAGGCGAATGAAAGCAAGAGGACATAGAAACTAGGAGCAAAATTCCCAAGCAAGAATCACTCTCAAATCATGCGATGCAATTCAGAAATCAACCAATAAGACAGAGAAGAGAGCAATTATAGCAGCAATACTTAGGAAACAGGTGCAAATCCAAAGGCAAATTTTTTTTTTTTTTTCAAGAGAAAGCTCAACAACAATCCCTCCCCCACCCTTAAATTTTGCATTGTCCTCAATGCAAAATCCAAGGACAAGGTAATGACAAGAGAAAAAGAGGATCAATAAGGGAGTAAACAAAAACAAAGTTATTTTTCTACTAGACTAACTCCCCCACACTTATCCTCTTCAATAATTCAGTTAAGCACAGTTAATCGATGCAAAGTTAAGAGAGAATAAGTGAGGAAAGAGACAACCTTGTGTTTAAAGCGCCTTAGACTCTTAAAAGAGAAATTCTCATCAATAATGAGAAACATAAAGTTTAGCAAAAAGGATTGCTCTTGATGATTGCATTTTCTTGGTGGTGGCTCAGGGTCAATTGAAAGAGGTCCAAGAGCATATGGTGGGGTTTGGTGTTGAGGAGATCCCTTCCAATTATGTGCCTGCACAGAAAACAAGCCAGCAGCAGTACCAAATCTAGCAATAGAGACTTCAAGAGATTTCAAATAAAGTAAAGACATTTTATGATCCAGGCTCTTCAAGTAGCTACAGCATCCAAGAAAGTCAATGATACTCCCATCAGTAGGAGTCAAACAATCATTTAAAGTTTCAAAACACTTAAGTTCATGTGACGTGGAAACTGAAGAATCCAACTGACAGTTATTGGAGTACAGCACATCACTATCACATTCACAAGAGGTGGGAGGTAAAAGGGTGGACGCAGAAGAAGATTCATACAGAATACTACTATTGACACAGCTAGCTAAGTCAGGAGGTAAGTCACAAGACAAAATTTGTTGAAAAGACTCATCTACATGCATAATTTTGTCAGTCAAAATTTCATAGTCTTTCTCAACAACACTAGAAGCTACGAACTCAAAGGAATTTTCAGAAAGATAATTCCAAGGCTATGTTCAAATTCGCATTTCTCCACAGGATTAACATCTAAGCAACTCACATCAATATCATGCTTTATATTGTCAGCACTTTTAGTACTAGAAGGCGATGCACACAGTTTACTAAAGTTATGCTTTTGCAACCCAACAAGTATATCATACTTGTTATCAATGCACTCCATGCATATAGTGTGGGCATTACAAGAACAAGATAGAGGTTCGTTCAAATCAGAATCAATTGCACCATCTAATCTAGCACTAGAAAGAGAAGCATGTTCTTCATACAAAGAAGCAGTGACAGTGTAAGCAATATCATCAACTAAACAACTACTATTAGAAGTGTTCAAGTGAGAATTTTTATTGTTAAGCATTTGAGGGGATTCAACTATGATTTCCTCATCCACCTCATCATCACTCACATTATCAATAACTTCAACAGGAATAGTAGTTCTAGTACAAGGGTCAATCTCCTCAAGAACAGGAGCAATATTACCTGATGTAGGGCACGAGTCCTTGTGAGTTTGTAGATGTTCTTGCTTCCTCTCAGCTTCTTGCATGAGTGAATCTAGACACTTTGATTCATCTTTCCCAACCTCATACTCAATTCGCGCTGTATCACTCAAGAACTTTCCTAATGCACTTTGACATTCTTCTAGCTCTTCCTCTAATTCCTTAGAGATCCCAGATATCTCTTCCTCTTCAAGTAATCTATGGTAGTATGAATTTAAGCGGTCGTAAGCTTCTCTTAAAAATTGTATCTGTTCCTTCTTAGGAATAGTAAGAAATGGGTCAAGTTCATTGAATTCATGTTCATAAGATTGGGGAAGGGATTGGTATATGGATTGGGACAAGGGTTGGTGGTAGTATTCATATGGAAAAGGAGATGGTTCTTGGTGGTATGTATACGGTGGAGATATATAATTAGAGTATGGTTGGTGAGGTGGGAGTGATGGGTTAGGTGATTGATGTAGAGGATGGTTCATCCAAGAGGTGTCATGAGCATAGATGTGATTAGGCGTTTGAGACTCTAGTTGAGCTTGGAAGGAGTCCAACTGTTGTAACAACTCGTCAATCTCTTGAGAATATGTTGAATTAGAAGGTGCTTCATTCCACGTATTATTTCCTGCAAAAAATTGAGAATGTGAGAGTAGATTATGATTGCTATTAAACCAAGCCATGAAAAACAAAAAACAAAAAAACAAATGCAAACTACTAAAAAAAAACTAACAAAAATGAAAACTAAAAAGGCTCAACAAATGAACCCCAATCAAGGCTACTTGACACTTAATTACTAGGGAACCAATTTCTTGGCTCCCCGGCAACGGCGCCACTTGAAGTTGAACTTCCCTTAATTGTCGCTTTGGGGTTACTCCAAAAATTAACCGAATTAATGCAGTATAGTGCAAAACTCGGGTCGTTTCACTTTGAGGAGCCGAAAACGAAATTAAACCCTAGTAAATAAATGCAAGTAACCTAAACTATAAAAAGAGATTTTTGATTTTTGAAAAAACTACTAATTAAATGCTACGAATCAAATTGAAATTAAAATACTTTTTTTATTTTCTTTTATATAAAAGATGATTGAAATAACTGAAGATAAAAGAAATGAAAATGAGACAAACAAATAACACTGATGATAATCAATCCTCTAATTCAACAATGTAGGCAATCATCACTCTAAAAGATGTGGGAGTTAAAAACAATGAATTAAGAATTATAATTAAGCTTTTAATCCAACAACCGAGCCACCTCGAGTTGCCACAAAATATTTTCCTAAAATTCAAATTACTAACTGCAACCAGAATAGTAAAATGAAATTAAGGATACTAAAGACCAATGCTCAATTAAATTCTTAAATTCACAACAATAGACTTAAAGCTAGCAAAAGACAATATGATCCAAGATTCTAAGCCACCTTAGAAAATCACAATATATTAACTCCAAAATCAATACAAATGTCATAACCACAACATCATAATTGAAATCAAAGCTATAAACAGCCCAATGTCAAATGCTAAACAATAATCCAGTCACAATAATCCTCAAATATAATCAGATTAAGCAATACAATTATCTCAATAATTAGAAAAACTATCCTAAGACCTAGGAATTGTTAAACAATTATTGGGTAGGAAATTAAAGCAACTAAAACTCCCCCTTGATGATCCAAGCTCCTGCCATTATTGTTGAATTAGAGAATTAGGAATTAGCCACGGTTTGCCATAAAAATTGTCATAATCAATCCTCTTTTGCGGTCAGCCATGGAAGAACGCAGGCGCCGTCGACTCGTGCTCGCTGGTGTTCTGGTGTTCAGCTTCCCCGCGTCCAGCTTGCTCTCCGGTTTTGTTCCGTGTTCGTGCTTGTGTCTTCGTTCGGCCCAAAACTTGCTCTGCTCTGTTTTCGTTCTATCTCCTGTTCGGCGTGCTCTGCTCTTCCGTTTCGCGTCTTGCTCTGCGGCGTGTTCTCTGGTCCTTTCTCCGGCCGTGCCCAGGAGGAGAAGAAGATGAAGCCGCCGGTGATGATGGACTGGACCGATGGAAGGACCTCTCTGTTCGTTCCAGGTCCGTGTGCGCCGTCCAGCTCCTCCTCTGTTCTCTTTTCTTCCCGCAGCTCCAGCTTCCTCTTCGTTCGGCGTCGCGCGTGTGTGTGTTCGGCCAGCTGATGATTATTAGGTTGGGGCAAAATGCAACGTTTTGCCCCCCCTAATTATTATTATTTTTTTATTTTTTATTTTTCTTTCCTTTTTCTTTTTCTTTTCTTTATTTTTTTTCTTTTTATATTTTTGAATCTTCCAAGAACCTGCAAGCAAAATTCAAGGATAAGGTAGCATTAATTGTCCTCAAAAATCAATTAGTCATAATTAAACCAAAATATGACAATTTTGCCCCTATAAAATAATAATTCAAAATAAAATAAATTAAATCAATTACGGCAAAAAGGGACCAATTAAGTTGACAAAACCCATATAAAAGATATCAAAATATATAAAAATAATTGAGTTTGTCAGACTATCATTTGAATATCATTAAAAGTTATAATTGGTTAATCTACTGAATAATACAGATTTAAGGAGATACTACCTCTAGTGCTTAATATAAGAATTATATAACTAATTTATGAAAATTAAAAAATTAGTTAAGTTAATTATTTATAATAAATATATCTTCGTTTTCCGTCAAAAACCACATTTCCCATTGTTTGTTAATTATATTCCAGTTGTTAATCACGTGAAATTAATACAATTGATGGGGATTGAAATATGATGTCAGGTCTACAACTTGGTTTGACCCACCAGGATTAAGTTAAGTCAATCCTGTTAGGAAGCCTATCAAACAATAATATACACTATTTAAAAAAATACATTAATATTATACATGTAAATTATACATGTAATATATTTATAATCAAGTAATATAATATAATAAAAATATAAATATAATTTATATAAATTCATGAGCTGTCTGTTCATATTTATGGCCTATTACATTTTAGAATTTCATTGATCAGTTGCGGGCCATCCTTAATTCGGATGAAGATTTGAAATAAATCATATTACAACTTAAGACCTATAAATATTTGGCCTTTCTAAACATCAAAAAGTTGGCAAGGTTTTATATGATCAGCTTGCAATCCAATATTTTGATTGTTTTCTCTCATTGTAAAACCTTCTCCATCAATAGTTCTTCTTGATGTAGAACCTCCCTTTAATGAACTAGTTCTTGTAAAGCTCCAACTCATCAGCAATTGTCGGCTATATGTCCTTGCTAGGATAACAGGTTTTTGCCAAATATGACTTTCAGAGACTGCCAAAGCTAAAAGCGAAAGAATTCCAATTACCATGAACAAACCTGCAAAGCTATAAGTGGTAAGGTTGGAACTTGCATTGTCCGATGATGAAGTAGATAAGCCTTGGCCTTCATAGTTCTCATGATTGCTTCCAAAATATTTTTCCTCAATCTTGTCCACTTCTCCACTCTCTCTCACATTTAATATAGCTCTAGAAAAGTACGAGGTTAAGTTGGAGCCCTTGGGAAATGCCTGAAATGTAATGTAAATTAAAACATCTAGGCAGACACATTAAAAACAGTTTACTCAAAATTATCCTAATGTGTACAAGAGGAAGATGCATGAACACCTCATTTGCAATGGCAACACTGATATATTATATTGTTGATATCATATGATCTTTTGATTTTTAATATAAGAGTTAATTAATTTAGGTGGATTAAAGAAACTAAATAAATTACTTAATTCTGACAAATATGATATGATCTTCCTAAAATACCCTACGTAGCATTAGAGTATATATCAAATTATAAGTTTGATAAATTAGTTTTAGGGAAAAAATGGTAAATATAAGATATAAAATGGATTAAAATTTTACATTTAAACGACAACTACTATATTTAGCATGGAAGAAATAGTAAGTTTTTGGACCATCTAACTAGATCTAAAATGGACAAAAGGAATCTATGTACAATAAAGGAATAGAGATGGAAACTCACAAAAGCAAATCCACCAATGCGATGTCTGGTATCGACCATGGCATAATCGGAACCATACTGCTTGAGGAAGACCTTAACGTGGGAAATATGATCCAAAATTGCATCAACGCCACCTTTAAGGCTTCCTTTGTCCAAAGCCTCCTTATATTCTTTAATGTCAGGGTAGTTCTTCACCCTCGACCTATCAATCTTCAAGCCATCGATCAATAAACCTCCGATGAATGAGTTACAGTGGTGTCCAACATTAATGTTTGGGTCTGTTATAACGTCATACTCACTAAGGTAACGAGGTTGTAACTGATGTACTGTCAACATTGATGACAAGCTTGCAGTGTAACTTTGCATCAACACAAATGCGAGTATCAACCACATCACCAGCACAAACTTAGAGCAATTCTTAACCAATACTTCTGCAGATAGTATACAAACTGAAAGTGAGAGGAATCCCACTTTTAGGTAAACTAGATAATTAGATAATAGGCTACATAGCTTATTACTAGTGTATCTTCCTCTAGAGTTCAAATAATATATATATAAATATATCGATTACACAAACAAAATATTGCTAATCTTCTGTAAAATTCAAATTAAACTCCCTCTGGTCATTAAATTAGGTTAATGGGGCACTCACTTTCAGGCAGAACTGCTTGTTCTACTGGAAGCCATAAAACAGAAACCCCGCTGAGTTGTTTCCGATATGGTGAATCTTCAAATGCTGAATCTTCCTTGACAGTACGTTCCATTAACAATATGATACCTCCTATAAAAGTACTGAAGATAGCAATAGACAACCATAGATCCCACCTAAAAGGTCGCACAAAAATCCACATATTCAACCGTGGATCGTGGCGAACCTTCACAAGCATCTTGATATCAGACGGTTCATACGGTACTGTGAAATCAACATAGTTTGATCGATGTGCCAAAATCGACACATCTCCCACCACAGCATCGTACTGTTTATAAAAAAGGAAAAAAGTGGGATGTTCAAATTAATTAATGATTGTGTTTATCAGATGCGTAAGGTATTTGTTATAGCAGCAAATACAATGAAGAATAAATTCAGAATATATATATTTATCCTGTTTCCGCAAGTCTAAAAAACTTTCGGTAGATTCTCTTACTAAACTGACATGGAAGAGAGAGGGCCGCCCAGACTTTTTCATGCATGTCCTTTTAATTTGATCAGTGCATCATTTTGGTTTTGGTGAACAAAAGGTAATTCTAGAAACATATACAAGGGCAATTTGAGGTAAAAGGGACTGACCAAGGTGGAGTGGCCATGCAAAAATATTAATATCATCAATCTTCAATCATTAGTCGTACATCATAGTGTAATCATCATTCTTTTCTCCTTTAGATTTTTTTCAATTAAAATAAATATTTGACCAACCTATTATTCTTTTGTTTTTTTTGGCAAGCTACCAACTGATTTTTCCAACACCAGCTGACAATGCATGTTTTCCAGGATTAACTTTTCTTATGAGGTCGGATAAGCGTTGACTTGACTTGGGCTAGCTAGTTGCAAAAGGATCTTATATTGCGCAGTAAGATTTTGCGGAGAAAACGGGGTAGAATGGAGGTGAAACTCCTATAAAAAATTTTGTACGTTGATTTACACACGCACGCATATGATTAGGCCTAACCAAGTAAGTTTAATTAATTTAGCTGGGAGCACATCGTTTGAACAAGTGAAACAGATCCTGGAACATATTGTGAACCTCATGAACAGAAAAGATGTGAGAGCCAGATCTTTTCAGCAGTAGTACAATATAATTGAGAGGACCCTTAGTATATGTGAGCAATAGTATATATTCAAAAGAACATCGTATAGTGTCTAACCTTTCCTTCAAAAATCTGATAGACGAGTGCGTTGTAATCCCCTGCACTGTTTCCATCTTCGTCTACGAAAGCCCTAAACTCGAAAGAAATATTGTAATGCAAACTCTTAAGGTAAGTTATGGCCGCATGGAAGACGTCAATGGAATAGCCCGTAATCTTGACGATCTGATTATTATTACTTGAATTGAGTTGTACATCCACAAACTGGGTGAAGCCAGTTTTCTTAGGAAGTCCAATTATTAACTTCTTCCCTCCTAGGAGTGAGCCAGCTTCACCGTCGCCTGCTACAATCTCAGCTATTAACAACACAACACAAGAAATCGTTATAAGGTTGCCATAGTGATAGTAATTTGGCCTTGCCATCTAACAACAGTGCTATATATGTGGCAAGCAAATGAAGAAATTAAAAGCTAACTCGTTTGAGAATGTGCATGCAGCTGCCTTCATTTATATAGTACAGTGCACCTGTGTATGAATATTATCAGCTCGTTGACATTTTCATTTATTTTAATTGGAAGTAGTATATAGATATATATATATATATATATATATAAGTTGTTCTTATGAATTGAAGAGAAATATTAAATTCTTAATAATCTTTACGATAATAATCAATTCAATTTATTACGTATAATATATCAAAAATAAAATAAAATTATTGTTAATTAAAAATTTAAATAATATAAAATAATATAGAGACACCCACATCTAAGCTTGGGTCTGAGATTTGATGGGATGGCTAGGACCAAGTCTACTAAGCTATGCAAGTTGGTTCAACATTATTCTACACAGTTCTTTTAATAGTAATAGTAATTGATAACCAAAAAAAATAGTAATAGTAATTTATCTCTTAATTTAATAAGCTAAGTATATACTGCTTGTGTTTTCATAAGATCCAAAATTTTGAATTAATCCTGTCATTTTTATAAGATCCATTTTGATTTGCATGAACATTAAATACATTTTTATCAATTTTATTTCTAATTAATTATATTATCTTTTTTTTTCATACGTTTTCTTTCATTTTGTTCTCACTATTTCTCTCTCACTTGCTTCCCATGAATAAGAGTATATACGGAAAAAAAAATTTATATATTTATTATTTTAATTAATATTAAAAAAAATTTATTTTTAGACCACATTATTCAGTTATTTGTATATTATGAGAAATAGGAGGGAGTTGCAATGAAATTAATTGAACACATGCTATAAAGCCGAACAAAACAAAGGAATAACAGGATATACTAAATGTCGAGAGACAATTAGAATAAGTCAAGTTCTTGATTTGGGAAGGCCCGCCCATCAAGTTCGGTAAAACATATAAATATATATTTATATGATTGCTATTTATTCAATGGAAGCTTCGTGTAAATTATGGAAATCGTAATCCTTAGCTTGACTTCACATTCAAACAAACTTAATTGACTTTCCTCTCCTCACTATCTCTCTCTCTCTAAAGTAATCCGATTTTCCCAAATTGAACGCAACTTGATGACTGAATTCCAAGTTCCAACGTTCTATTTCGTATTATTTTTAAATCAATATGATTTTGTGTTTTCATTTGATCTTATTATGTAATGGGATCCAGATGACAGTATATCGTTTTATTTAGTTTTTAATAAATTATCTTTTTACAAAAAAAAATCAATAAAAATAATTTTTCATTAATATTGATATCATTTTGAAAATGATTGATAATATATAGATTTACTCTTCTAGGAAAGCAACTTGTCAATTTATAAACGAGAATCTGTAGTTCAACATGCAAAAGTGTGAGCTTTGTGAAGAACAAGTTCAATTTAATACATTGACAGGTAAACATGATCGGAATAGCAAGTTCACTTAGGTTTTCTATTGAATTTGAAAGGTCCCAATTCGCCTCAAACCCTTGGAAATTAACAAGCAAAAGTTACAAAGATGATCAGTTCAGTTCTAGTTTTAACAAATCCGTCTTCTGCATATTCAGGTCCACTCATTAACAAGTAAATATATACTAAAGTGATAGCTTAAGTTCGGGTTTGTTCGACGATATATGATGTTGACTGGAAGAAGAAGATGCCAGGATTGTTCTTCGATCGGCCTGTGAATGTTGAGAAAAAAGATTTTTTTTCTGATTAGTGATTATTTTTCGATAAGAATTTGGTATTTTTTCTATCTTCTAGATCTAGATTGGTTGTTCCATTCTGCCTTTATTTCCTTTTTCCCCCTGTTGATGTATCTGTTCGATTTATGGATTTCTGGACTGAGATTGTTTCATTTTTCTGATGATATCGCCTGCAGTAAAATTTGGGTTGGTCATGGGTCGCTGATGAGCAATGGGAGAACAGGGGAGGAATGGTGTAGAACTGTGGCAGAGGGTGGGATAATATGGTCTTTTCATTTTTTTAAAATTAACTAGAATAATATATCTAGGAAAATACTCTTCCGGTCATTAATGTAGAACCTAATTAGAAAGTTAATATTGGTTATATAAAGAAGATCTGTTGCATATATTTATCAATTTTTTCTTAAATTAACCCTATTGATATCCTCATAATAATAATCAAATAAGAGGGGAGGAAAGGAATTAAAATAGATGTTTAAAGTGTTTTAGAAAAACATATCATATTAACTAATTTAACTAATATTTTTAATTTACTAAAATTAGTTAATTAAATCTTATATTAACAATTAACAATTGGGGACATATTTTACTTATTTTTTAAGCTAATATGCTTTTATATTATTACCTCTTCTCGTTAATACCCTCCATGGGCGTTAAATTGTACATGTGAATATGTGATGAACGGAAGAAGTATTCTTTTTCCTATTTGGCATTGGAGAAAGAAAAAAAAAGAAATTTCTATTCGTAGGCCCTTGAATTGGGCTGAATTAGACAAAACGGCCCAATTCATTGTTTGCGCTGTGGTCCTATATGTCCTTGGCTCTTTTTCTGCCGTTCGGTCAGAGAGAGTTTCTTAGACCCCAAAAATTACCATTAGAGTATTTGCATTCATGGAAAGCTACACAGGTGGTTATTTTTTTTAAAAAAAAAAAAAGCCCGTAAAAATAATCTCATCATAATATGCTCCACGTGCATATCAACTACGATGTGGGCTCCCCTATTTTCCCTAATGAGCTAAAAAAAAAACTTGAATTTTACATTTTATAGTCTAATTGAATAGCGGACTATGCTTAATTTTGATATAGAATTTAATATGAAACATCACATGATTGGTTTTAAAATGTGGGGATAATTTGCCACATCACCAATAAATGCTTCAATATTTATGTAGGACAGAGATGTCTTTTGAGATTTCTCCATGGCTATAGATGCTCCACTCGCAATCCAACATTTTGATTATTTTCTCGTTGCAAAACCTTCCCCATCAGCATTTCTTCTTGTTCTTGCAAAACTCCAACTTATCAGCAATTGTCGGCTATAGGTTCTTGCGAGCATAACAGGTTTTTGCCAAACATGACTTTCAGAAACTGCCAAAGCTAAAAGTGAAAGAATTCCAATTACCATGAACAGACCTGCAAAGCTATAGGTGGTAAGGTTAGACCTTGCATCGTCTGATGATGATGAAGTAGCTAAGCCTTGGCCTTCATTATTGTCCTTGTGATTGCTTCCAAAATATTTTTCCTCAATCTTGTCCATCTCTTCACTCTCTCTCACATTTAATATGGCTCTAGAAAAGTACGAGGTTAAGTTGGAGCCTTTGGGGAATGCCTGAGAAGTAATGTAAAGCAACAATTAGACAGACAAATTAAAAACAGTTTGCTTAAAATTATTCTAAACTACAATATGTACAGCTAGAGAAAGACGAACGCTCTATGGTAAGTAACCCTATACAGCCGGTTTTTTTACCATTTAACAAACTAGATTTAAAATGGACAAAAGGAATCTAAGTCCTATAAAGGAATGTAAAAGAGATGGAAACTCACAAAAGCAAATCCAGCAATGCGATGTTTAGTATCGACCATGGCATAATTGGATCCATACTGCTTGAGGAAGATCTTAACGTGGGAAATATGATCAAAAATAGCATCGACGCCACCTTTATGGCTTCCTTTGTCCAAAGCATCCTTATATTCTTTAATGTCAGGGTAGTTCTTCACCCTTGACCTATCAATCTTCAAGCCATCGATCAATAAACCCCTGATGAATGAGTCACGGTGGTATCCAACATTAATGTTTGGATCTGTTATAACATCATGCTCAGTAAGATAACGAGGTTGTAGCTGATGTACTGTCAATATTGATGACAAGTTTGCTGTGTAACTTTGCATCAGCACAAATGCGAGTATCAACCACATCACCAACACAAACTTAGAGCAATTCTTGACCAATGCTTCTCCTGCAGATAGCACATAAACTAAAATTGAGAGGAACCCAACTTTGCAAGAGTTCATAACTTACTAATAGTGTATCTTCCTATAAAATTCAAATAATATATAGATAGATAGATTACACAATCTAATAATATGGGCCTATATAGCAAAGTTAATAGGGCGTTTACTTTCAGGAAGAACTGCTTGTTCTACTGGAAGCCACAGGATAGAAACCCCACTGAGTTGTTTCCTGTATGGTGGATTTTCAAATGCTGAATCTTTCTTGTCAGTACGTTCCATTAACAATATGATACTCCCTATAAAAATACTGAAGATGGCAATAGACAACCATAGATCCCAACTAAAAGGTCGCACAAAAATCCACATATTCAACCGTGGATCATGGCGAACCTTCACGAGCATCTTCACATCAGACGGCGCATATGGTAATGTAAAATCAACATAGTTTGATCGATATGCCAAAATCGACACATCTCCCACCACAGCATCGTACTATTCATTAAAAAAGGAAAGAAAAAAAAAGGGTCAGATGTTCAAGTTATCTAATGATTATGTTTATGTGCGCAAGGTATTTGTTATGGCTCCAAAATAGAATGAAATTCAGAACACGGATATATATGCTGCTTCTGTAAGTCCTGAAAACTTTCGGTAAACTCTCTTCCTAAACCGACATGGAAGAGGGCTCAGACTCCGTCGCGGTGTCCTTTTGATTTGGTCGGTGTATCGTTTTGGTGAAGAAAAGGCAATTCTAGAAACATATACGAGGGCAATCCAAGGTAAAACAAACAGAGCAAGTTAGAGAAATTCAGCAAAAATATTGATTGCATCAATAATCATCAACCGTAGATCAAAGTGTAATTCATCAAAAGAATAAAATATTATATCGCATCCATGAATCTTTCCCCTTTTAATTTTTTTTTTATCATTAAAAAATATTTGAGCAGCCGATTTTGCTAGCGCGTGCAATAGCTGACAATGCGCGTTTTCTTGAATTACCTTTTCTTCTAAGTCCGATAAGCGTTGACTTA